CTACTTATTTGTAAAAAGTTTTATCATTAGAAAAATTAATCAAGTTTAAACACTTTTATCGTTAAAACCCTATTCACCCCCCCTCTAGGGTTGCCATACCGATCCAACACTAACCTCATGACTGAATGAAAAAGTGTCAATCCTTAGTTCTCAGAAACCTATAAGTTCTCGTGGTTATTTAGTTCCTTCATTCTCTCAACTTAATACCCCATTCAAGATATCTATAAGAGGGATATGTGATGTTTGCCACAACATGTCATTCTGATCAACAAAGTTTGTGTTTCTATTCAAAGTTAGAATGTTCACACTTCACGATTAATACCTAGTATACTCTCATGTCATGGATATCCAACCATTTTAGTCATATCGGCCCGCATATCGATTGGCTAGTCACCCTATCCTATCAAGTCTAAAATTTTCGATCATGGTGTGGTTACTTCCCTATCTTCATAGGTCACAAAATATTGAAATAATTTTGCAAGTTCTCTTATAATTTCTCCTCAACATACTCAAAATCTACCTCTATCTTAGGAATCTTGAAGTTGTCATTTCCTTCTTGTACGAGCTCTTTCTAGTGTATCACTTGGTTTTCGTTGAGGCCTAACCTAGCAAATGTGATTAAGGTCCTCCATTCACGAGTTTTATCGCTTACATGATCTTTATCCACTTATTTTGATCCAGACACACTCTCATGTTATGTCCTGACAATGTCATGCCATCGAAAAAAGCTCTTTCGATCCTAACCAAATCTTGACACTACTTGGGTCTATTGTGGTACAATAGCTCCTAAGCCTTCTCCCACATATCACGTCTCCTCCTAACACTAGCGAACTTATACTACCAACTGCACCTGCGACGTTTGGAGATTAATAGTGACGAGTTTATGTCTACTCACAAGAAGTTTATTTCTCAATTGGATAAATACTTTGCGTTCCAATAGTTCGCCTGCATCATTCCCTTAATCATGTATAGTAGTGCCTTTGCATCCTTACTACAACCATTACAGGTGTCGATTCAAATTCGTGTATTGGTATCTACATTCAACTTTTATCATAACACAAGGCATAACAAAAAAATTCATGTGTCGTGCCTATATATCCAATTAGTTTTTCTCCTTCCAAATTGACATCATCTTTCATGACATCCTACGTCTTGTTGGGCATACTTGCCTATTGGAACTTATCTTGTGTGTTTTTTCAAGTTTTGTACCCACTTATAGTACCATGCTTGGGCTACTAAAGAAAAACCTACTCCCGTATCGTGCCTCTCTCAAGTACGGTTAGAATGACTTGTGAGCTTGACTTCATTTACATTGTGTTAGATTATGAACTCCATGAATATGATGAGGTGTTGCACAAGGCGGTAATACACCAACTGAGTTCGATCCCATCCATGATTCCTCTCAAAAAAAAATAAAGATGTAAATTTGAATTCTAATATTTTGGTTTTCATCTTTATCAATTAAAAATAAAATTTTAATATATTTATGAAAAAAAAAATATATATATTAGGACTCATTAAAAGAAAAAAAAAATCAAATTGTACATTAAAAAAATACATGAACTAACACGGAATTAAACTTAAAATGTAGACATAAAAAAATACGTGCACAACTAATAATAATCGACGGTGCATTTAATTAGTTATTTATATATTGGCACCCACGACCGAAAAAGACGATTCTACCCTCCATGGCTATTTATGACTGAAGCAGACTAATCCCGGAAAGGACGGCAGAACCGGAATGGCATCTTTGAGAGAGAATGACGAATATACCCCTGGAAGGAGGGTTCTTCGAAATGACATAGCCTGCAAATCCGCATCAGCGTTTAACCACTCTTTCTTTATTATCTGTAACTTAGTTGGCGTCCATGGCCGCTCCTTCTCCGAAGTCCCCATTGACCTTCTTCTTCTTCTTCTTCTTCTTTACTCTTCAGTCTTCCCTTCCCCCCTATATATCATCCCCCTCTCCACTCCCCCTTCTTCAGCTCAAACTCAAGCAGCCCTAATTCCTAATTCCTAATCCCTAGGCCCTAATCCCTAATCCCTAATTCTATCTCGCTTTCTTGCTCCGATGGCGTTTGTCGCAGACCAATCCGGATTCGAGGACTGGCTGCCGAAGATGGCGGAGAGGCTGGGCGGCGAGGGGCTGATCGGGGAGCTTTGCAATGGATTCAATCTTCTGAAGGATAGAGAGAAGGGGGTGATAGATTTCTCGAGTCTGAAGAGAAACGCGGCGGCGCTAGGGCTGGCGGATCTGAGCGATGAGGATCTGAGAGAAATGTTGAGGGAGGGGGATTTCGACGGCGATGGCGCTCTCAATCAGATGGAATTTTGTGTTCTTATGTTCAGATTGAGCCCTGAATTGATGGACGAGTCCTGGTTCTTGCTCGAGGATGCTCTAAGCCAAGAGTTTAAGGGGTTCTTTTGATTTTTCTTTTTCTTTTGTAATTATTAATTACTGATTTATTTACTTCACTCATTGAATATACCTGGAAAAGAACAAGAGAAATAAAAATAATTTCATAAGTACGGTTCTATAAGTTTAATACTACTTTTGAGGAGTTTTTCTTAAATTCAAAATCGAATATAGGTCTAAATTACAAATTCTAATAACATGATTGCAACCAACTCCAATTAAGAATTTATATTAAATAATAAAATGTAGGTTTTATATTAAATGGGTGAGAATGATTCCTCTAAAAATAAATAGAAAATTTCGTGAGGATAGAAAATAAAATAGGTGGCACAGATGCTTTCCCGTCCCCACCCCATCTCGTAATATCTCTATTTGATGGGTCTCAATCGAGCTAACTACCATATTGGGTAGACCCAATTTAATTATTTCATTAATATTCATTCATTAATTATATATATATATATATATTACTTTTCTTAAGTATATTTTATTAAAATTAATTGATTTTTTTTATTCTTATTTAATTTTATTTTAGAGAATTTATTTTTAATTTGTTTTTTATTAGTTTAAAGCTGTTTAAAAATTTTATTAACTAAAAACTATAATGAACTAAATTATAAAAATATAGTTTAAGAAAAAAGAACTTACCTTTTAACTAAATAAAATATAACCTATAAATTATTGTGGGTTTACTCAGTCATAAGTTTTTTTCTTTGTGTGGAAAAATTTGGAAGGCATTGGAAAATATTTTTCGTGACCAAACTTGCATCATGCAAATACATTGGTAAAATTGTGTAGTGTTAGTCAATGTCGATACATTATATATAAACAAATATCTTGAGAGTCGTTGAAAAAGTGTACCTAAGTGTCTTTTTAAAATGCACTTAAGCCTCCTCTCAAATGAACCCAATCCTGTTTGATTTTGTCGCTCGGCGACCAGGTTCGGATGAAATTTTTGAACAAAAAGTAAGTACAACTTGATAGGTACTCTTGGATAAACAATTTTAGCCATAGTCTATCTTTTTTTTTTTTTTTTTTTTGTTCTTGAGCCGACCTCGAGTGTGATCTAGATCTTAAAATAAAGATTCATTTCAATAATCGCGTTCTTTTGATTAAATATTACTTGATGCTTCTACTGCATCACGCTCAATGGATGAACCAATGATCAAAGAGTCATCTGCTTGAAGTAGCTTATGTTTAATCAATATGTCAGATCTATTATTTCGTGCACAAATTTAATACGTATTTATAAAGTTGATTAAAGGATAAATAGTTGAAATATTCTAATATTTTAGTCTAAGAATTTTAAATTTAGAGAGAACATTAGTCTCGGTACCTTTTTATTTTATATCTTTTTTATATCAAATATTTAGGATTCATAAATCATCACTACCATCTTAACTATTCTCAATTTTTTAAAAATATGGTAGGATTGCATTGAGTTGCAATCCTATTTTCGAGTGGATCAGATTGAGTCAGTAAAAAAATATCAATCTATGATTCATTTTTCAAAAAATTCAATCCAAGCCAACAGAACGTCATGGGTAGTTTAACTTTGTGGAAACACCGAGTCATATGAATAATTGTATTAATGTGTCGGTTTTCAAAGTCAACTTTGACCAATGCTACAAATAAGTAAATATATTCTTACGCCATACAAGTGTGATGCCTTCCCTTTGTCTTCATTTTTCAACACGCAAGTATCAATCATTGTTACTCTATTTCCATACATTTTCAACCCAATTGAAATATTCACATCTACTGTCCAAGTTTTCAACCAAAACAACACTTACAAAGTTGAAACCAAATAAATTATTTAAAATTTTCGATAAAATTATTTTGTCAGATATAAAATTTAAATTTATATACAGCAGATCAATTTTTAAAAAAGTTTAAAATTTTGGATTCTCGGGTAGATATAAACTTGAAGGTGGGATAGTTCGGAAAGTCGTTCAATAATTTTAGTGCTACTTTTATTCTCGTTCGAATCTTAATGTTCCATTTTTTTTTTTTTTAAGAAGAATAGAATCTTAATTTTGAATAATCAAATTTGGTTTTACAAAAAAAAAAATAATACTAATAAAATATAAAATATTTAATTAAAACAAATATATAAAAAAGTGTTTTAAAAGGTATGCCAAACTAATATTTAATTTTATCAAAATGATAATGACAATATCAATATGGATACAATGAATATAACTTAAAAATCATAAAATTAAAATCTAACATGCTTTAAACCAAAAAATAAGTTACAATTTTGTTATTAATATATTATAATATTGTAATTAATTAATAATATGAATTCTATGATAAGTTGGTTTAATTTCAACGGGGATTCAAAGAGTTTGCTTTTTTTAATTATTATTTTACTTTTTCTTCACAAAAATATTATTATAAACTTATAAAAAATGGGGAAAGGTTAAGTATATATTTGAAGTATTGTAAAAATATTTTTAAAAATTAAATATTATTGATTTTGTAAGATTATTTTAATTTTTTTTTATTAAATTTAAGGAAATTATTAAAAGTTTTAATATATTTTTTAAGAGTAATTTTTATTAATTTAGCAGCCAAAAAAAAAAAAAAAGGACGATGGGGTTGGCGCGAAGACGAGGAAAAATTTAAGACGACAAAAGGGAAGGCAGGTGAAGAACATTTCCCACCTCTCTTTCCCAAAATTCCTTTACGTTCGTTGAAATGGTAAGACGAATACGCCAAGAAGTTTCGATTCTGCTTCTCTTTTCTCCTTCTTATTGCTTCCTGTTTCGTCATGGAAAACGACCCACATACCATCCACCCATAATTGCTTCTGTTTTAAGCTTTCATTGGATCTTTCCCTGACTGTTTTGAATCTCCGCGACGAATTCGTTTCCAGGTATTGAAGCTGTCTCTTGCTTTTGATTCCTTAATCGTCTAATCTTTCTATGCATCTGATTCCCATATCTTTATTGTGATTTCGTTTTTGTATGGTCGTGTTCTTTTGCTTCTACGTCTCGGACATTTGGGCTTTTGATCAATTTCTATTTTGATTCCTAATTTTGGGGGGTTCTGTTCTTTTCACGTTTCTAATGGCTGGAAATTGAAGTTTCTGCTCTTTTTCTGAGAGATGGAGGAATTCTTTTTTGATTTTGTGTCTCGTTCTGCGTACAGAGTTAAAGGGAAGTATGTTCATGTCCTAAAAGGTCCTACAATTATTTCCTTTGGGCTCTGGATTCGTAACAAGATATTCACCTTGTTACATTCCTGAGCACGTTTCTAGAAAGAGAAAATATCGTATGTTCTGAACTTTTATTTTCCAAAGGTAGACAAAGGGTTTTCCAGCTATTCAATCTTGATCACCATAAGGGTGGTTGTCTGATTCCTTTTGGGTCCATGGTAAAGGTCAAAACATCGACACTTTTTTCTTTTTGAAATGTCAAAGGTCTTTTTATGAGTACACTAGGCGGTACAGTGCCATTCTTGCTTGGAAGTTTTTAGTTTGAAATACTTTTCAAAATTGAGGTGTAAGGCATGTAGGCTTATCACAAGTTAGTCGAGTACTATATATTAATGCCTTGTAAAATATTTCCTCTGCAACAGGCTTCTAGCTATGGGAAGCATCATGTCTGAGATTAACTTGAAGGACTTTTTTGTTCCCAACTACATTTTATCTCTTGGATCAGAGGTGGAAAGAGTTAGCCATCCCCCTGTTTGTCCAGTAATTGTTTTCATTAACTCCAAAAGTGGCGGTCAGCTTGGAGGTGAACTCCTTGTGAGATACCGTTCTCTTCTCAATAAAAATCAGGTAATTTGAACCGTGTTAATGCAGGATATTATTGTATCTTTTTTGAGTTTGTGGATGTCCGAATTTGAGGCAACTTTCTCCAGGTTTTTGATCTGGGAGAGAGTCTTCCTGACAAGGTGCTACATCGACTTTATCATAACCTTGGCATGCTCAAGGACAAGGGAGATCTCTTGGCTGTTCATATCGAAAAGAATCTTAAACTAATTGTGAGTCACTTGTCGAGTTGTGATTTCACTTATATTGTCTACCAGTGAGAATACATGATTGACTGTCTGTTACAGTTTGGTCAATGGTCAAGGCCATAAGTTGTCAATTATCATCAATCTCTACTCCTTGCTCTTAATATGTAATTCTAATTATCAGGTTGCGGGTGGAGATGGTACTGCAAGCTGGCTTCTTGGGGTAGTTTCTGATATGAGACTGCCTCATCCACCTAAAATTGCTACAGTACCATTGGGAACTGGAAACAACCTTCACTTTTCCTTCGGCTGGGTATCTCTTTCTTTTGTTACACCTGTGCTTTTGATATTTTTTTTTGCTATCTATATGGATAATGGTGTTTACGCTCATATTATCTAAGGATATGTTCTTCATGTTTAAGGGATTAAATAAAAGTGTTAACGGATCAGAAAATCTCAACTTGAATATTTTGTTCAGTATTTGGCTTTGAAATTTTAGTCATTTCACTGGAAGATGTTCTAATGGTCTTATCCAATGTAAACTCTGACTAAACCAATCATGTTTATTTCCTGGCAAGACATTTAGCATTTCCTAATATTTCGAGCCTGTTCAGAAGTTTTTTCTATGCAATCACTTATATGAGCTGTCACTTTACCAGGCACCATGTCAGTTGTGCTTTCTGTGTACATTACTCTTGGTGCTTGGACTGATTTAATTCTGAACTTGAAAATAGTAACTGTTGTTAATTCACAGGGAAAGAAAAATCCCGGCACAGACCGTGAATCCGTTGAATTATTCTTGAGTCAAGTAAGGAGTGCAAAAGAAATGAAGATTGATAGGTAAACATCTATAAACGCCAAATCCAAGCATGTTTCTTAAAATTTGTTTTGTTCTAGCATGATCAACTAATTATGTAGTGTAAGGGTGTGTGATGTACGTTTATTTAAACATTGTCATTACAAATGTTTATCAATTGAAGTGTGAAATAATATGATCAATTCTCAACTCACATCACCAATGCATGGGCAGACTAAGGGAGTTATTTAGTGGATGGAAGTATAGATAATTGTGGCATGATTCTGGTATTACCAAGCTACTCCTTTTTAGATCAACTAGTCATTTTGTCTTAAATAACTATCTGTTTATTGAATGCTGCACCGGCATGGCTGTAGATCAAAAGCTTTGTTGCTCAGAATCAGGCGCAGTTTCTATCATTGCATATATTTAATATGTTTACTGAATTTTAGTGAAATGGAAAAGTTTTTTTGGTTAATAAGAATGAAACTGTTATTGTTTTCTTCATAAACTCAATTTTTTTGTGTTCCAGCTGGCATATTCTCATGAGAATGCGAAGTCCGAAGGAAGGTTCTTCTGATTCTATTGCATCTCTTGAGCTGCCTCACTGTTTGCACGCATTCCATCAGGTATCCCAGCCTGTCAACCAAAATATAGTAAACTTGTCTTGGTTCTTATTTTTTAAAAAAATTCCTTTTGATTCTTTCCACTGCTTATATGTTTAGCATGTTGAAACTGTCCTGACTTGAGCACTAATGCTCATAATCCATCGGGAGGAAACTAAATATTTCACGAGAAAAATGAAGGTGTACCTAAAATATGGACACCACCAGAGGGATAAAGAACACTCTGATTGGTCCTGTTGAATTATGAAATAAAATTCATGGATTGATTGGAAAGAAATAGTAATAAAATAGAAAAGAAAATAGTAAACTTTACCTGTACACCTCAAGAGGGCATCAACAGGTTTTAACAATTGTTTTCCGTCATATTAGAAATACATTAAATTCAACTAATTGGTTTGAATCAAGGTTTATAGCGAAGTTTAGAATTAGGATTTCAAAGCATCAAGTGTATTTTTCTAAAAGCAACATTAAGTACTTCTTACTCCAATTGGAGTTGAGTTTTAGAATAGTATCCTAATTAGCTAGGAAATAAAACAAGCCTATATTTGGATTTCTCTATTGCTGCAAGAATTTCATTTACTTATTCTTTTATTATTCATTAACACTAGAGATTTTCAATTACTCATTAGGGGTCGGGCTTGAGTTTGCTAGCTTTTTACTGGTGTGATTTTTTTTTTTTTTTTTTTTTTTTTTTTTTTTTTTTTTTTTTTTTTTTTTTTT